TAATACATGAAATATCTGTATTTTTCACAAATAATGAAGCAATGAATTTCCTAAAAAGTTTAAAACTCTGCTGCCTGCTGTAAGGGTGTTACTTCAGTTCCATTATTTGTAATGAATTGAACATTTCAACTAATTTGTGCGACAGTGCAGGCATAGAAATATTCATTTGCAGAAAGACCTATTGAAACATATGAGATGGATCAGAAATGAGATGAAATGTTCTCAATATGAGGACAGAAAAAAGTGCAAGATCAATACCAGGAATTGGCAACTTATTGCTTTTGCTATGTTTGGATTATAGGTTTCCAAATCCCTCACTGTTGGCATGCTGATTACAGCTTATGACTGTTTTAGGGCAGAAGTCCCCAACCTTTCTAGGATGGCGGCCTGGAGGGAAAGGAAGGGGGAGGCATGGGGCCATGTGCGCATGTGCGATGCAAATGGGGGCAGCTCAAGTGCTCCCATGACGCTTGGGCCAGACCTAATGCCCACACGATGCTCAGGGCAGTGCTAGTGTGATGGGGGAGTGCACACACACGTGTGTGCACACTGGCCAGCCATTCACGTGGCCTGGTGGCCAAGAGGCCACGGCCCGGTAGTGGGCAGCGGCCCACAGACTGGGGTCCCCTGTTTTAGGATACTATCTGGCTTTTTGCTGATCTGGAAAAGGTTTTGATATGAGAACATAGGATTTTAGATTAGGACAAAGGATTAAAAACAAAAAAACAGAGAGAAGGAATAAAGAAAGTGTAAGTAAGGTAAAATGGACGAGTCATATAAAATAAGCTGTTGTATTCTGGGCTTTGCTAGGAAGTCATTGTTATCTTACCTGTCGCTGAACTGACAAATACTATATTTATTGGATAGGTAGCCAAGTCTATTGCAGATACACCTTCTGAATAATTAATACTTGATAAATTGCTAAATTGAACTTTCTATCTTTTTTTGCTTTATTGCTGAGAAGCAAACATCTTCACTTATTTATCTTTAAGTCACATTATAAGCTATTATAGAAGCTGAATGCTATTGGAGCTTAAACACTTCATGTAAGTTTTAAGAGCCAAACCTAAAGTGTTTAATATTTCAATTATGTCTTTTTATTAGGGGAACATACCGTAAGTTATTTTGTGTTAAAAAAATGGAATTAGGGCAGTTTTTGCAGGATAAAATGAAGAAAAAAAGGAAGAATCATACAGAATTGCCTATAGATTTTGAGTCCAAATTATACCAAACATATTTGTTTACATTTCTAGTACAATTGAATTTTAAAAGTATAGATATTAATGTTCCAGTTTTGACACTAATTGTTAGGCTGAATAATCTGTTCTGTATGTTCTTTCATTATTTTCATACATGCTTGAACCATTTTTTTATTTTCATTTGCTTACTCTTGTTTCCTTTGTAACTATAATGTGCTTCATAATGTCTAGGAATGTGAGAGCTCTTAGAATCTAAATTTCAAGAGATGTACTCTTCAGGCAATAAATCAGAACTGACAGATTCAAAAAAATGTATTATTTGAAGCTTTTAATTATTTTTCCTTAAAGAAATCAAATTAAAGATTTCGAAGTCTGAAATAATCCAGTTTTCCTTTGAATGCAAGTTTGCTAACTAAAATAGGAAAATTCCAACTGTGCTTTCAAAAGCCACGGTAGGTGTGAATAAAATTCCTAAGCCTTAGAGGCTGTGTAGAAATCTTCAACCTCACAAGGCCTCATCTGCTTCTAGGGCATTTTTTTTTCTTGAAGATTTGAGAGGGGTGGAGGAGGAGAGCTATTAAATTTTCTCTCACCCCACATACTTTTCTTATTCTTCTCACCTTCCTAGCAGTTTTGAAATTGGATACAGTTGCACAGGGATTTCAGTGAGATGCAAATGGAAACGTGATTGTTAAAAGTAACATCAGTGATTCTCACTCCCCTCCACTCTCTTTTTTCATAGCTTTCTTAAAACCTATTTGTTATTGTACTTCACTGCAATAAGAAAGAAACCCCATCAGATCTTGCTATACATCAGTTTGCCATTTTATGATAATAGTAGTGGTCAAATCTGACAGGATCTGAAGCATCTCCACTGTGTCAGATTTCATGGGATGGGCAGACATAATTGGAGATAGGCAGTCCCACTCTGCTGGTGATAACCAGCAGACTTAACATCTTCTTAATAAAATTTGTACTTTTTCATCTCATCAGCAAAATTGATCTCTTTGTCCAGTGGTGGGATTCAGCCAGTTCACACTACTTCGGCAGAACTGGTAGCTAATTTTTTGTTGCCCAGGCCCAGAATGGACTTCCGGAAGTGGCATCCACACAGAGAACCGGTTGTTCAAACATTTGAATCCCACCACTGTCCTTGTTCCATTTCTGCTTTCTGATAGCTAGCTCAATGGGTGAGGCTGGCTACTGTAGTAATGTTTGACTAAATGCAATTAGTATTCTGCCACATTGGCAAACCTATGCAATGAGAGTTTGAATTTTATAAGGAAAACAGTATATTCATATTCAGCTGCTTGAGTTGGTTAATATGAGGAATGAAAACTGAGTTTGGTTTTTCTAGATGTGTCTGGTTAGATGGTGGCTTAATCTTTACGGAATACAAAAATAGTTGGGTCCATGCCACAGGCTAAGACTTAAACAAAGATTTATAAAATTATAATAATTTGGTCTATGTTGCATGTTAAGCAAAGCAAGGCATGTGTTTGTGTGCTCACAAATGCCTGGTTTTCCACTACTTTGCCCTTTCTTCTTTTTTGATCTCTTTTCAGCTGCATTTTAAATCCAAAGTCAGAATGATGTGCAAGGAATTGACTGTAAGCAGATTCTGGTATCTCAAGGCTCCCAGCAATTTAGAATAAAACTGTAATCTGTGGTACCTTTGTTATATGGATTGATTCCTCCCAAAACTAGCTATTACCATTGGATATGAGCTGGCTTTTTAAGGTGACTTGTTCTCTTTTAGAAAAAGAAAGAATAACAGAGTTGGAAGAGACCTTGGAGATCTTCTAATCCAGAGGTCCCCAACCTTTTGGTCACCAGGGACCAGTTCCATGGAGAGAAGTTTTTCCGTGGACTGGAGGGCATGTGATTTTGTGTGCTGCTTGCATCTCGTGGATGGGGCTTTGCTTGTTTGTGCAGGCCGGTGGCTGGCATGCTGCAGCCCAGTACCGGTCCACAGACCGGGGGTTGAAGATCCCGGTTCCAATCTAGTCCAACCCCCTGCTCAAGCAGGAGATCCTATACCATTCCAGACAAATAGTTGTCCAATCTCTTCTTAAAAACCTCCAGTCAAGGAATACCCACAACTTCTGGAGGCAAGCTATTCCACTGATTGTTTTCATTGTCAGGGAATTTTTTTTTAGTTCCAGGTTGCTTCTCTCCTTGATAGATTTCCATTCTGTTACTTCTTGTCCTGCTTTCAGATACTTTGAAGAATAATCAGAAGGGCCACATCATGCAAAATTTCAGACCATAATGGCAGATAAAACCATTCAGATTTTAGAATGGGCTTCTTCCTGGAAACATGAAATGTGAACTGTAGAACCTCCAAAGGTCGCTTCTAAATGATGTTAAATAGGACCCTAAATTGCAGACATTTTTATATGCTGCAAATATATACAATCTGCTAATGTTTGTGTATTATTTGAATGCACTCCTGTTAAAACATGTCAATATAAAAATAGTTTACATGTAGCAATTTTGTTTGAATGTAGCTATAAAAAAATACAAGGAAACAAATAGGATGTGGGTGACCAATATCCTAGTAAAAGAATATATTAAATAATAATAATAATAATAATATTATATTCTTTTTCTATGATATTGGTTTCACCCACATCCTATTTGATATCCAAGAAAAAGAATATATTATATACTTTTTAAGATTTGACTGGCATGCTGGATATCATACTCCAACAATGTGGTCACAGCCAGGAAAATAAAATTCGTTTAACTCATTTAGATTTAAAACTAAAACATAATTTTATTTAATAGTGCATTTAATTATTTCTCCCTTATGTCATTTTAAAAAGTGTATAAATATATTTTATTGCTACTAATAATTTGTCCACAGCATTTTAATAATGTTTGCGGTTCTCCCGCTTAAAATGTCTTTCTGTTCAAAGCTTAGGCAATTACTAAGTGTGTATTCAGCAGTTTTAGCCTGACAGTTATTAAAGTGGGTAGTCTGAAACTTGTTTTTCAAAGGATTGAAGTCACTGCTTAGCTTTCTAAAATGCTTTTAAAAGTTCTTTTGATATTCAATCCACTAAATATTTTAGAACTATATGTACATTGTATAATACTATGTTTTGTAATATTGAAAGTAGGAATGCAGTTACCTAATTTCTCGTTAACTCTGCTTCTTGCAATTTTGAATCTCACAATTAGCCTTCTTTTTTCTTCTCCCCATCTATTTGTATCTTAGGGAGGAGATGTCTATTTTAAATTAACTCAATATATTATTGCATCTAAATTACATCATGATTAGTTTTAATCTGTTGTTTAAAATTACTGGGGGTTATGGACAAATTTAGGTCAATGTGCTTAAATCTCTTTAGAGAGGTTCAAATAACAGGATGCCCAGGGAGTTTTGTGTGCAGTTTTGATGAGCGCATAACTTTTTAAATCTGTAACCTTTCTACTCTACTCCCATTAAGCTGAACATATGAGCAAATCCTAACCCTCGACTTGTATAACATCCCTTTCCTAGAATTTACTAAATAGTGAGACTCATTGGACCAGTGGTGGGATTCAAATATGTGAACAACTGGTTCTCTGTGTGGATGCCACTTCCAGAAGTCCATTATGGGCCTGGGCAACAAAAAATTAGCTACCAGTTCTGCTGAAGTGGTACAAACCGGCTGAATTCCACCACTGCACTGGACTCAGATGCATGCAATGTGCATAACTTTTGTAAATGTTCCTGGAAGGAAGGAAGGAGGGAGGGAGGGAGGGAGGGAAAGAGGGAGGGAGGGAGGGAAAGAGGGAGAGAATGCTTTCAATATCTCTGGGTATCCATTTTTAAACTGACATTTTTCAAAATGAAGGTTAGATGCAGATTCCAAGTTATCTATAAGCTGAAATGCTACATTTTTTAGAGATTCGGTGTTCTCTAAAATTTATGCATTATCATTCCCTTGCTGAGGACCTGCAGAATTTGCAAGAGCATTTCACCATACAGGTGGTATCATTTCCTCAAGAACAGGAACAAAAAGTTTTTCAGTGGCATCTTTTGATATGGAGTCTCCTCCCCACTGTTTTTGGAAAGCTTGGTGGATTCATTCATGGTAGGGTTACCAACTGACTGAAAATAACCAGATGACTGACCTAGCCCTTTGTGGCCATCTAAGGGTTGCCCAGTCTGGTAGTCTGAATTCATGGGCTTTCTAGGAGAGGTTGGAAGGAGGATTTTTACTATCCTGAATAGAATTTAAAGTACAGGGTGAGAGGTGCAGACAAATGGTCAGCAAGTCTATATATTCCTGAAAAGAGAAACAAAATCAAGGAAGTACAGGTGGTCCTTGACTTACAACAGTTCATTTAGTGACTGTTCAAAGTTACAATGGCATTGAAAAAAAGGGACTTATGACCGTTTTTCATACTTACAACCGTTGCAGATCCCCATAGTCCATGTGATCAAAATTTAGATACTTTGGCAACTGATTCGTATTTCGGACGGTTGCATCGTCCCAGAGTTGTGATCCCCTTGTGACCAGCAAAGTCAATGGGGAAGCCAGATTCACTTAACAATGATGTTACTAATTTAACAACTGCAGTGATTCACTGAACAAATATAGCAAGAAAAGTTGTAAAATGGGATAAAACTCAGCAACATAAATTTTGGGCTCCAGTGTGATTGTAAGTGAAGGACTACTTGTAGTCTGTTGGGAAGGATAACTCTCCCTTTGAAAGGCACAGTAGAAGAGAGAAGGAAGAAAATATTCTATATTTCTTAACTGAAAAGTAAAAGTTCAGAATGAAATATGTTAAGTGCTGTTTTAGCAATATTAGAATATTTTCATAATCTATATAGATGATTGGATTTTTATTCATTTAATATTTTTAAGGAAAACAGCTGAGCCAGCCAGTTTAAATCTAATATATTCAAGCATGATGATTTTAAGAGCAGAACAAGTTGAACATAATGTATTCTCTGTTCCTAAAATAATACAGTACTGTAACTTGAGATAAGCAAATGTTGCTAAAATCAGTTTTTCCGAATCATGGTTCACTTGACAGCCTCAAAGGTAAAATTTTTTCCAGGTTTCACATTGTTTGAAAAACTTCTGAGTTAAAATAAATAAACATTTTTATGAGCTAAGTTGAGATTAGCATTTATCAGTCACAAAACAGCCACAAAACAAGCCCCCAGTACAAAATAATGCAGCAATGTGGGGATAAAGGAGAGTCAGTGTGTTTTGATATTTAGAAATTTCAATAATGGAAAAAATGCTGCTACCGGTATCAGAAATTTGCAGCATTGCCTGGCAATTTGCTTCTTCAATCAGGCTATAGTGGAGAACAAGTTGACGGGCAGATGTCTTTATGAGATCCTGACTGGTAATAATCATAATTTGACATGGTCATCTTATTGCTTTTACAACAAATTCTCGATTCCGAGCAATTGTGTTACAGAATTCTGTCGTAAACTTCCTTTAATTTAAGTACAACTTGATTCTGATTGCAAGTCTTTATAAAATCACTTTGTTCTGAGCAGTATTAGCAATATTACTGTCCCTGTTTTGTTTTGTTTTTCCAGCAAAGGATTTAGAATTTCTAGAATTGTGGCAAAAGAAAGAGCTCTTTTTGACCCTCATGATTACTTTACCCTGGCATGTGAGCAAAGCGTCCCCTAAATCCAGTTTGTTCCTTGAAGGCGTGAGAATTTCTCTACTGCATGAGGTCTGTGCAAATCATCTGCACTACAAAGGAATGCCCATTTTAGTAATCTGGGAATCGCAAATATTTAGAAACAGCATGCAACAATGGCAAAAGGAGAAGTAATTTAAAGTTTGCTGGGTTCTTATCCTAAATTGTATTTGGCCTGAAGTTCAGGAAGGAAAAAAGATCAATTCTTTTAATTGAGGGGTAACGGAATAGCAACATTGCACATTTCAGAAAAAAGGAGAAAATAATTTGCTTTATTTTAAAATTTAAATTGAGTCTCTTAAAATCTAGTTACATAATCTATTTGGCTAAGATGAGAAGTTCTTTATCCCTTTTAGGCATTGTGTTATTTAACTTTAATATTATTGTATATGTCTAAGAAATAATACAACTGAATTTTTAAACAATAAATCTTGAGCAAACAGAATTGTATTGTCCAGTCTTTCCCATTGCACAAATAAAGACCCAGTTCAAGGTTGAGATGATACACATTTTGATAACTCAGTTTTTGGTATATGCTGTAAAAGTGTCTTTCCAAAAATGTTATAATCTATGCTTGCCAATAATAGCAATCCAGGCAAAATAAGTTCAAGGTTTCTTGTAAATAACTAAATTCTTTGCCATCTTGTATGCCAGTGAGTAAATGGTATCTTATAACCTTGTTTTGCCTTAGAATCAGAAAGAAGTCCGGTTATTTCTAATTTGAGCAATTTGTTACCTGATAATGTCTGTGCATATTTGTTGTCCACTAAGTGCTTTTTTTCTGTCCTTGCAAAAGTTTGACAGTAAGGAGAGAGAAAGAGGCTATTCTATTCATTGCAGAAAATTCCTTGTATTGTGGGTTGTAGTATGCAGTAACCTGTTTCTGGAAAAGTCTAAGTTCAAAAGGATGGGACAATTTGGCATTCCGTGTTCACTGGTTTTGGGAATATATGTCAGACCTGTTGTTTGTTCATGGGAAAATTACTGGTAGCAAATATACAAAAATGCTTTATAGGACTCAACTCTGAGATCAGACTGGATAATACATTTAGTAAGTATATATTGTGTTGTAGACAAAATTGATGGATCTTGCTATAGGAAAATGTAATGCTCATTGACACTTTTTGTACTTTTTAATAAAACTCTATTGCTCTCCAGATTTACTTGGTATACACTTATGATGCTGGACTAGAAATTGGGAAATTATGAGTTCTAGACCTCGTTAGGCATAAAAGCCTGGTCTAGACATTGGTTCAGTCATTCTTTCTCAGCTCAACAGATCTAACAGAATAACAATGCTGATGGTGCTATTATGGTTGCTTACACAGTCAGCCAGATGTTTAGATTGGATTTGACATTTTTATCCATCTACTGATTCCTTCCCAGGTTGGGAATCTTATCAATGTTTTCCTGACCATTTCAAAACAGATATATTTCATGCAGAAGTATTTGGTCCAGGCTGATAAAGAAATGAAATTGATTGCTACGCTTAGTTCATTATTTGTATTTCGTTGAGGAATCTTGGCCAGACTAGATTTAATTCTGGCAGTTCCATGAACTTCAGCATGAACCTTCCAGTCATTTATTACAGAAAGAGGGAAGGTCAGATTTATAAGCGAAAAATAAAATAGAGCTAAGTCTCTTCCTTCTACTTTTTTACCATTGAAGTTGAGAAGGAACCTGGAGAAGAACAGGCTATTTTTCTTCTCAGCTGAGTAACTTCTTTGTCTTTATATGTGGGCTATTTCCTGCCTATTATCAAATTCAGTTTGTTCTTTAATAAACTATATTTAAGTCTGTTTGCTGATTAAATGGCACCCATCCGTAAAACCAATTCCCATTACCCACAGCTCTTCATATTTGTTCTGGAGGTTGAAGGAATCCGTCAAGAAGATAGGTTTGTGGAAGAAGGGCTTAGAGAAGACAATAGAATAGATAAATACCTTACATAAGAAGATCGAGTAAAGCCTTCTCTTTCTCATTTTTAGTTCCCAAAATGACGGTTATTCTTTGTCAGCGATAGAGCATATGCATGGGGAATATTGATGAATATTTAGTTTTGAGATGACTGACACTGAAGCAGAGGAGAAAAAAGTAGCAATATGATGTCATGTATTTGAAATAGACCCCTGTATAAATCAAATTAATCAGTCAATAAAATTTGGAGCAGTTCTTTTCCCATTTACATCTGTTTCATCATTTGTCATTAGGCAAATTTATAATGACAGTTTCATATTTTAAGGAAGCTCTAGTGACCTCTACAAAATAAGTCAGTGAACCTGTCACTAATAATTCCATTATTTAGCTGATAGTGCAGTCTTTAATCCAGAAATTATGTGTTAGGCCCCCTTTCCCCAAGGGAATACGTTTTCTAAACACATTTATCCACAGTAAGGATGCTATTCAGTATATTTAAATAGGTTTTAATAGATTTTCTACTCTGAATATAATTTAAGAACTAAGCTCTCAACAACTTCTGTCACTTGATTTAAATCAGTATTTATAATGATAATTTTTGTTTCTCAATATTGAAATCATAACTATGAATTTACAAATACCATGTATGAAAGTGCTAAATGTTACTGCACTATCACATTTTTAGCAATTTCTGCAAATATTCCTATGTCAGCAGGCTTCATTTTATGGCAGGGTGTATTTTAATATTTTTATGGGTGATTTAGAAATATTAAGGACTTAGGATAAAGTAAACAGAGAACATTAGGTTAACCCAGTGTTCTTCAACCATATATTGTGCAGTGTAACCTCCATTAGTTCTAACCATATCCTGGTTAGTTGATGATGTTGTAACTCTGCATATCTGACATTCTCAGAATAGAAAAGGTTGGATTAGGAATATAGAGGAAGATAGTTTGCATTTTATGTGATACACTGGATGGGTCTACACATCATGTTAACTATGGTTTGGCCTAATCACTTGTTCACTAATAAGAACAAGTGGTTCATGTAGAACTAAGCAAAAGTGTATCCATTGTTTGCATTAATCTGGTGTGCAATGTAGATGTTAAAAATAGGGATGCTCATTTGTCTTCTATAGATAATAGACAACCTTTGCTTCAGGGCCATATTGACTTAGATATTTGCTCTTCATAAGTTTTTAATTCCCATATGTTGTTATTACAGTCCCAACCAATACTGTATGGCTAACGATCATGAGTATCCCAAAAAGTCCGGAGATCTAAGTATGGGAAAATTTTAAAGGATTGTTAAAAAAAACAACCCTCCACACACCTGGACCAGGTATCTGAATTGCAGCAAATATAATTCCCAAACTTTTGCTTAGTTTGAATGATATTTGTGAGAGATGTACTCAGTACTTCAGTAGTAGCTCTAAATGGGCTAAGGTTATCTCAGAATTCAAGGAGCCTGATCTGTTTGTGATATCTGGTTAAAAACTAATTGAAAAAGTGAATGTGAAAATGTCAACTTTATGGGTGAAACCTTTTTAAAATGTTAGTTTGAGGGGAAATAGTTACATTTATAATGCATTGAAGACCTGGCTATTTTCCCAGTTATATGAGTGAGGGTAGAGATGAGTCGTGCTAGTGTCAGGTTCACAGCTGAAGGTTCAGTTAAGCTGATTTATTGCTAAAAGCCTGTGCGCTGGAGTCTTCTCAACTAATGGTTGGCATCTGGTTAGAGTTTGATAAAAGTCAACAGCTCTCAAGGGGTGTTAGACTTAGTTTGCTTGTGGCTATTTAGGGATTCTAAGCTGATCCCTCTTTTCACTCCATACCCATTTCTGCCATTCCTTCTCCTACAGCTACTATGAGTGGTTAATAATAATTTATTCTTGGCACCAGAGGGCTAAGGTTTGGGGAGGGGGTGCTGGTTGATCTGCTTTTAAATCTTGTAAGATGCCCAGAGCCACTTGATATGAGTGGCTATATAAGTTATATAAATAAATACATTATTTTGAAAAATTAATGAAAAATTATTGCAAAAACATTTTTATGCTTGCTAGGTAATAATTAAAATTGGCAATTTTCATTTCACATATGCAGGGGAAAATCAAAGTATCTCAGAGAAATTTAACACATACTTCTTAAAGTGTTAGAAGTTGAGTTCTGGCCCTTGATTTATCTCTAGCAATTGAAATTCTCAGGCTTGCTTCTCTTTGCCAAGAGACAGCCAGGCAAAGATTGTCTCTGCATTGGGTGAGTTGTATTTGGCCAGCTCAAAAAAAAAAAAAAAAAGTCACACTTTGTCTTGTGTTGTCTGCTTAAGTCTCAGATTATGTGCATGTATGCATGTGTTTGTATGCACTTGTGTTTGCAGTTTCAGTTTCAGAAAAAGATACAGTTTTTACTTTGTAGGATATAGAATAGTTTCTTCTGGAGAGTACTGGTTGTAAGTAGGTACACAGTGACTTCTTTAAGTGATTGGCTAATAGAGGAATCATTTTATGATGTCAAGATGATAGCATTTTTAATATATCGATCTCAGTCAATTTACAGTGTCCCACATGTGGCCATTATGAACAAAGCATTCATCATCTCCTTCCTTGGCTACTTGTAAAACTGCCCCAAAACTGCTTTGACAGCCCTGATTCTGCTGGTATAAAAAAAGATATGAATATGCAAATGACTCAGTGGGTAAGCAAATTTGTCTCAGCAGATAACTAATTGATGTATTCCAGTCTCCCATAGATTTTTCTAAATAGATCTGGATCTAAATAAAAAGAATATAGATCTTTCTATCAATATTTTTTTCTATTTCAAAGTAGGTAACAAATTCAAACTGAAATCTCAGTAGAATTTCCAGAGCATTTCTTGAATCCTTCACATTTCTGAAAATGGACCATCTTAATTAGTTCACCAACATATTAAAGGGGACCTGCTGCTATCACTAGCTGAGATCGCACAAAGATCATAACGCTATTAAATATTATCCAGTTCTTCTACCTTATATATGAGGGGGAAGCTAAAAATGTGAATTGGGGAATCCCTTTGAAGGCATGTTCATGTTAAAGAAGAAATAATGTAACTTTTGCATGCTACTGGTGTTATTGTGTGTGGATAGTTGTTAGATATACTACAGATATATTTCTTTCCATGAGCTGGAATATATTGGATATGCCTGTTTCTAGAATGTGTTGAATTGAATACTCTTATTGGGTATGCCAGTCATCTTCTCAGCACTGCACATAGTTGGCTAGGATGGGTGGTGTTTGCAAATTGCTTCTCAATGCTTCCCACAGCTCAAGGAAATCTAGTACCGGTACTAGATAAGCCGCTGATTGGATCATTTTTCATCAAGTTCTAGAGTAGAAATAGAAAAAGAAGCAGATTGCTTCTTGATTTTTTTTTTTTTTGAGACCAGAATTGATGGACCTTCCATATCTATCTCAAGCCTGCAGTCCTGAACTATTTCTGTCTTGATTATCTTGATTGGAAGAGGATTGTAATTTTGAGAGTTTATTTCCTTCATTCTTTCATTTTTTTTCTTCCTCTCTATTCCATTTTTGGTACATGTGTTAGCAATTTAGGCTGTCTGTCAGACAGAAGGACTGTTTTATTACTGATATCAATAAAGCAATGAAAGGCTTTTTTGTTTAAAGAGTCAGCATGAAAAAAAAGCTTTGAGTAATTAATAACCCTTACTATAGAGAGATGTCTCAGTCAGGGGCTGCAGCCTTATATGGAGATCCAATTTACCTGAAAGTCTCGGAATTGCTGTACAAGATGCTAAACTGGAAATAGACCTTCCATGATCAGAGGCAGTGTACCACTTGACAAAAGTTACTGAGGTGATGAGGGAGGGAGGAAAGAGTTTAATTAGAGTTACAATTAGAGTGGATAATATTTACTGCCTTCATTTTCTACTTCTATCCAATTTGTTGGAATTAATGAAATCTTTTGGTCTGACCCAGCTATATAAATCAGACTTATTTCAGCACTGTATAAATTTGAAGCTGACAATATGTCTCCCAATATGTCCCAAAGGTGCTTTTATTTTAAAAGCAACTGGACTTTGATTTTTCTTTAAGCCATTTCACTTTTCATTCAAGAATCATCTCCAAGATCTCCAAATAGTTTTGGATTACAGTTCCCATAATCCCCATTAGCTCCACCTCTGCTAGTTGGTACTGGAGAGAATTGTAGTCTCCAAACACCAGGAAGGTACCAGATTCCCCACTCTCTGTCTTTAACTGGTTCAAATACTAATTAAAATGTCTGTGAAATTTTAATAAAGCTGTCCGAAAGAATATAGCCAGTGATAAATTTAGATTAGTGTTTTCCAAACTTAGTACCGTTAAGAAGTCTGGACTTCCACTCGGAGAATTCTCCAATCAGAATTTTGAAAGTTGAAATCCACATATCTTAAAGCTGTCAAGTTTGAAAAACAGTGTTTTATGTTCTGTATTCCCTTCAAACAGTACAGCTATAAGTAATAGGGAAACCTGACACTTTCCCCTAATAAATTGAGCAAAGCCACGTTACAATCAAAACCTGCCTTCCCAAAGTCTCATGGAGATCAAATCTTCACCCCCAGCTGTTACCATTGAGTCTTTGCCCCTTGGAGCTAAATAGGAAAGCAAGTCTCCTATAGGCAAAGAAGCAGTGGAAATTCCTGCCCCCAGAAAGTTTGATTTGAGGCAATTTGCATCTGTGTGTCATTCCAGCTCATTTCTGCAGTATTGCAGGGCACTCCAACTTGCCTTTTTCCTGTTGTTTCTGCTGATGGGAGCTATTAACCAATCGCATTTGCTCAACTGAAGCTGTTAATGGAGCTTCACATCAAGGCAAAGCTTTAAAATTCATCAACAAGGGGTTTGCTGAGCATGAAAGGTTTGTTTCCAGGCTTTCCAAAAAGGAAAATCTTAATCTTTCATTTCTGTTCATTTGAGAGCAAGGATTTCAGAATTAGGTGAGTTATTTGTAAGTTTACAGTTGGATGTTGTGGGTTTTTTTTTTTTTTTTTTTTTTTTTTTTGGCATTGATGAGTTACATATAAAATTGTTGGCTGGAAAAGAAATTGCAATTGCAGATGAAGAACTTTATATGCCTAGATGGGTTGTAAAACTTGATTAAATTTGGTACGATAGGAACAGCTAAATCCCAATTTAAGGATTATGTCTTTTTGTTCTGACCAATGTGAAACAAGGTATTTATACAATTATTGCAAAATGGAATTAGCTTCTTAATTTGGGGCTTATTTAAGAAAGCAGACTCTGCCTGTAATACTGACATGACAGATGCTTGATAATTAAGTGTATTTAATTATGTGTATTAAATGTAACTTCTCTTCAAAGAACACAAGTTAGGCAGACTTGCTTTGAACGAAATGTACTTGCTAGTCATTGATGTAACATTTTGGAAGTTTTTCATTGCAAAATCTGCTATGGAAGATAAAATACATCTCAAAACTGTGTTATAATTATTTTTTAAAAGTATATGTATGAATTGTAAGTCAAATACCTGTTAAGGTTATTGTGTGTCAGGAGCAACTTTCACTTGTATTAGCTATGCAGTGTTTGTTAGAACTTTTCATTATTGAATAGCTGTGTTCAAGCTATTCTATGCAACTCTTAACTAATTTTTCACACATGTGGAATAGTTTGTATGAATTTATTAATGTATAGTGTATTCTCTTTATAAAACCTCCGAGTGCTGTGTTTAAATATTGACATTTCCTGGTTACATAATTATTTACAAGCCTCGGTGTCTTTTCAATGTAGGTACTTTCTTTTGCAGTTTGGGCAAATTGCATTTCATGCTAAGCTCCTGGTAAAAATGTATTTTTTTTCTTTAGAATGTTTAGCCTGAAAGTAATTAAAAATAATTGCAAAGCGGGTTAGTTTAAGTGCATGAATATGATTTATAATAAATGCCAAATATGTTTAAATGCCAAACTGAAGGTTTGAAACAAAATTTCTATAAAGATTAAACTGATACTATAAAAGAATATTTCTGGCAAAATAATGTTTTTTAAAACTCAGTTGAGGGTAAAGTATGTACAAATTATAGCCAAAATACATTATAAAACGTTTGCTTCTTTAATTAAACTTAGCCTATATCTCAAGCTTACAGTATTTTTAATTATTTTATTCCCTTTTATCTTAAATTAGACAAAAGTTTTGTATTAGTCTCTTAGGTATGATATTGTTAGGAAAGAGATAAAACATTAAGTAGAGTTTTGTTTCTGTGTAATAGTTCTGTATTGTTTTTCATTAAAGTCAGAATAACCATTGTTGTACAAAAGGAAACAAGATTATGTGTTGTAACAGCAAAAATTGGAATTCCAGATTTAAAATTTAAGTGTAAAAGCCTGTTCGTTCTAAGCTGTGTGGCATTTTCTTTTGATCATTCCTTCTTGCCAGCTATGTTGAGATGCAGTGACATCTTAGATGGATGGATGAAGTATGAAAACCAATTGCCTTGACTTGCCCAAGCAAAGTTGCTTTTTTATTAGAGACATGTCATTTATACCTTTTTTACAGTCATGTTTTTTCTTTAGCTTAAGCATCATCAAGATACTATTATGCTTTTAATTCCATCTCTCCATTTTTTATTCCTGTTCCCATGAGTAATTGATCTTTTTAGTGTATTCCATTGCTGGAAATTTTGAAAATGTGCATTGTCTGCACTTTACTTTTTTACAGTCTTGATATGCTGATCTCTGAAAACATGTTAGAGAAAAAATGTGATTCCTAATCCATTCACTGCATGACATGAACCTCTTTGTTCAAGGTCAGGAGAAGTATGTAAAATTACTGAAGACCGATGGATTGCTGACAAGTTTCATGATGACTGAGAGGAGAAAACGTTCGATTAAAATATTTGGGTTTGGTTTCTGCTGAATAATGCCAGCAAATCAATTTTTGCTGATAGGTTTATAAAGAAGGTTCCATTAAATAAATGAATCAATAACTGATTCAAAATTTATGTCCAGTAAACCAAGTGCAAAAGAGCAATGATTGATTCAGATATAAGAAGGGTGTAAAATTAATACAGCTGACACTCAAAACCAATACTGAATGTAAAGTCACCTTCAAAGGGGAAAATTGCCCTTAGGTTGAGCTCAATTCCAGCTACCTACATGGATTCAACAATGCAGCTTTGGGGAAGAGTACAGAAGAATTTTGCCACTCCAGCCTTTGTGAGTATTAACTTGCCCACAGCACTGGTATTGGTCTCTGATCCAGATATTAACCAGGTTCACCTCTGCCTCCAACCTCTGCAAAGTGCTGCCATCCAACAATACCTTTGATTAAACCAACTTTTGGGACCTGGAAGCATACCTTTTCTGTAGTAGCACTTATTATTTTGTGTTTGGCCCTGAAGATCTGGCTCTTTGACCAGGCCTTTGGTATGAGTGATTGAAGCCTCCTTTAGATTGCATTGGTGGTTTTTCTTTGTTCCCATTCAGGTTTTGTCATTTTGGGGGGACATCTTTATTCTTTTTGTTTCCTTATTAATATTTAAAACAATTTGGAAACTGCCCAGGGTCAAATTTAATAGAGTTATTAAATTTATATGGCCTGGATATACATACATACATACATACATACATACATACATACATACATACATGTCATTAAAATGTGAGCGCCACATTGTTGTGATTAAAAAAGAAAAAAACAGCAAACAAATACCTGGGGAAATCAAGTAGCATTAAATAGTAGCAGTAAATAGCAGCTTTACTCTGTGGACTTCAATTCCCAGTATACTGACTGACGAATTCTGGCAGTTGAAGTCCTCACAACCTAAAGTTGCTGAGATTGAGAAACAGTCACATTCTATGGGATGGGTGTTGCAATTTGAATTTTGCTGCAGAAAAAACACTTGTGTGCCCAAAATTGTATAATAGAGCACCTCATAAATAAAGTCACAAGGCAGTTGGTATAGGGAGAAGCAATTCTAAACACTTTCAAATCTTAAGCCACATTGAATTTTAAAGGAAAGTGCATCAGGTGGGGTCAGGAACAATTGGGTAGCACATGCAGCTCTCTTCAAGGAACAGTCATAACTGATGAATTCACCCAAATGCCCTGAATTCCGTAACTTAAATTTTAGCAACTAACTATGCAATTTTTTTTCTCCAGAATAAACTCTTAAGACCTAGTCCAAATTGATACTATGCATGGAGAAATAAAGAGGCTTTATCAATTTGAATTTAAAATTTATGTCGTCCTAAAGATGGCAGTCAATGCACAATACTAAAGCTGATGTCATAATAAAAGTTTCCTTGCTATTCTGATTTCATATTATTGGCCTTCATCCAGCCCATTACTGACTGCAAACACTGATTCAGCACCTGCATAGATATGCCATTTGACTCTGATGAAATTGACTTAAGCATTGTCAAAATATTGACTAATGTGTCCTACTTGATTTCAGTGGGGCTAAAACATAATTAAGTTTAGAGCCAACTCGTTGATAATAATGCTGAATTTTCACTTAAAGATGAATTAAAATGTAGTTAATCAGCTGTGGGTTTCTTACACTTCATTCCTCCCTTGCTGCAGTAAAGGTACATATCTATCCCTTTGGAAAGAGATGTCCAGATGTGTTCTATTGAAGAGAAAGCAATTTTGCATTAAAGCCGTCAGCGGTTTCAGATTGGATCCTAAACCTTGCTGGAGGCACATTCAGTTCCAAATGAAGAAGCTAGTTAAATTTGTATGTTCTTTAACAACTAAAGCATGTCCAAACCTTTTTCCGTGCAACTACAGATCTCCATGAGTACAGAAGTTTTGTAGGTTTCAGTTCTGCACAATTTCAGGAGCAGTGACAAGGAAGAGGGTTAAAAATAATTTATTTTTCAACAAGGTGAACTTTAATACACCACTAATTAGAGTAAATTTTCTAAATTGTCAATGCACAAATTTTTTTGATACATCTTGAGGTAGACTCAAACTTAGGGGAGCAATATTAGATGACCCAGTGCTTCCTTGATGAGAAAAGAATGGCATAGTTTAATAAGACAGAGGTTTCAAGAAATAGCTAGAGGCCTATAAACAAAATAAGCTAGTGCCAGGAAAGTCAGAAAAACTCCCACATATTATGAATAGCAAAGAGGTTAGGGAATTCCAAAAATGTCTAGTTAAAAGCCAGAAGCTAAGATCAATGACATTATGCATTTTTAGAACTTTGTAACTGCCCAAGGAATAGTGGCTTGAGAGGTAAATAGATGTTACTGATAAAAAGATCAGGCACCACCTGTTATGTCTGTTTTAATTTCTTTCTTTCAATCCACAATTTTATGGCAGAGGAAAACTTAACTTTTGCAACTTTCTCTTTGTTGGATTGGATTTGAATTGTTGTGACTGAAAAGCTGGATGCTTTCTTAGAAGAATCCTGTTGAGTGACACTAATGAAATGAAACAGGTTATTGCATTTTGCTCAGTTTAATTTTCTGGCAATCTTTTTTGTGAAGTGAAAAAAACTTGTGAAAAAAAAGATATTTTTACCTTCTCTTTATAAGGGCCTCTCTTTATTTAACAGAACTATAGGTTCAAATAATATATTTCTAACTAATATTGCTTATTTGAATTTATAACCAGGATTCATTCTCTTCCTCCCTCTCCCTCCCTCCCTCCCTCCCTCCCTCCCCCTTCTCTTGCATTATCTAGGTATTTTTAAATGTAAAAGTTGCAATATTTGTTTTTTGAAATACAATTTTATTTTAAGTAAATAATTATTGGAATCAAATGTATCTAAAAGTTTTCAGTGATTTAAAGACTTATAAATTGGGGTTTATAAATGCTTTGTTTGAAGGAATGGGAGATGTTTACCTATATCTAAAAGTCATCTTTATTTGAATGAATGCAAAATGTAATACTATATTTAAGTGTAGACATGATTACAGGTTTTTTTTAAACTTACAGAGTATGTGCTTTTAAAAAAGAGTTTTCAGTATTGCAAAACAAAACAAAACAGGATTTTATGGAAATTGGAGAAAGAGGGAGAGTACCACTATATTGCTAGGTTTTGAATAAAGTTTGAGCATACTGTTGGTATATTCTTAGAAGACATTAGCTGGACCAGTTTATTAACCTTTCTTTAAGCAAATGTTGCTAGCCATGTTGATTCAGGAAAAGGTGGGGGAAAGGCCAGGCTATCATTTACCCAATTATTCAATTGGAATCAGACAATCTATGTCTTCCACGTTCTACCAAGAATGTACATAAAATAGCCCAAAATCTGATACTAAAATGAGGTTGCTGGATATGATTTACCTTATTATCTTAGTAGTGGTTTATAATTCATTCATATACTTATTAAGTTAATGTTATTGTACTACAAGTCTTTCTCCCCAGATTGCTAGCAATATATCAACATATCAAAACAGCAGTAAATAGAATTCAGAAATAGAAATTAGCTGTCTTTTCTTTGATTAAGCCCTTTTGCATGCCAAAATGAATGAATTCTTATAGCCACTGTTTTGTGTAAATATGGTCTTCGTAGATCAAATGATTTAATGTGGATGCTTTGTTTAGAAAACTATCAGCCAATGGAAACAGCAGAGAACTGGTGAGCTCCTCTTCCTTGTCCACAGCCCTACTGAAGGTACATAGCCCTCTCTCTGGGCAAGTTTAATTTGAATCTGTGCTTTTAAAAAAAGGGTTGGATTTGATGGCATAAATGGCACTTCTAAACTCTATAATTCAGTGATTTTGCGGCTTATCAATATTAATATAATATTATCCACATTCCCTTAAGTTTAATATGTAACAAGGTCCGTGAGTGTATGTTTCTTAAAGGGGAACCTTATTTATGAAATGTAGCCCCGCTTAACATCTGTTTTATTAGCTGCTCTGAAGCTTGCTCAGTCCATCAGAAACATGTGGTAAAGTATTTTAAAGAAATATTTTGTTCAGAAAATCACCATTCTCCAGCACTGGAGATGGATAATCCACGCAGTGGGTTGAGACTGTATTCCTGGCCAATCAGATCAGTCAGCCAAAGTTGCCACGCCCCGTCTTGGACCATGATCCTTTAGTCTTGACTGATCTGGCCATGAGACATCTACAACTTTTGGCTCCTGGGCAGATATAGTTCCTTTCCATTAGGGGGGATTTTTTTTTTTTCTAGTAGCTGAAATTGCTTAGTTTAAAAGCTAATTAGAGGTAATTTAATTCAATTTAATTGATCACTCAAAAATTTCCTTGATAAATTGTAAGACTCAGGAAGTCAGATTCCTACAGGGGAAACCACCCCCACTTAAAAGGGGGAAATCCCTAATTCCCCTCCCTAACCCAAAACCCCCAGCCACCTTCCAGCAGCCGGCAGCCGCCGTAAACAAACGGGGAGGCTCGGGCAACCCCTCGCGTTTAAAACAAACGAACAAACAAAAAAAGACAGAAAGGCAGGCAGTTAGCAAGGGAAGTGGAGGACAAAGGGGACGCATGCTGGGAGGGAGATTGATTAAGGGAAACAGCTGGCGTGCGAAGGAGCAGTCTTTTCACTCCAGGCTGCTCAGGATTTTTTAAACGAGGCGCCATTGTCTGCACAGCTGGAAGCACGCGCAGCTCTTTGTTACAACCGCACGTGGCATAGGCAGCCTTGTTAACACATGCGCAGTAGTCTCCTGGCAGCAGCGGCCATATTTTTTGTCCAAACAGGGGAGTTAAAGTTCCTTGAGAAAGCTAGGTTCAGCCGCTGGAGTGAATTAATAGGCAAGCAGTACTGGGGTACTAAAGCATCTATTATTCATCCAGAGACATTCAAATCAGACACATAGCTACTGGTTCCAGGACTTGGTGTCTTCTACCTAAAGTAAATAAGAACCTTTCATAACTAACTGTGTTTAGTTGCCTTTGGCTCCTTCCAGACTTCGGGTCCCCCATTAGTGGCCCGTACGCCTCTGGATTTAGTGGTGGGTTCCAGGCATCCCCAGTCGCGTGCCTGTCCTTACCCACCATAGTCAAGCCGGGTTCCAGGCATTCCCATTAGCGTGCCTGTTCTTATCCGTGCACAGTGACTAACTCTGACAATTTTGCAGAGTCTGCTCCTGAGTTCCAGACGCCCCCAGTAGTGCGCCTGTCCTTACTCAAAGTTGGAGCTCTCCTACTACCTGGGTCCCCCCTATCGCGGCCCAGCGTTAGTGGAGAATGGAGGAAGCAATCATTCCCTCCACTGGAGCCCCGCCTTCATCCTCTGGAGCACCTGCTTCAGAGGATTCGGAATCCTCTGCAGCCCCTAGAAAGGCTGCAAGGAAGTCATCAAAGAAGGCTGACAAACAGGCAATCAGAAGACACCAAGCCCTAGAAAAAGAGTTCGACAGAGCCCAGAAAAGGGCCAGAATTGAAAATAGGCAGAATGGGGGAATAGGTCCTGATCTACCGCTGGGTCTCCCTTCATCCCCACGGGCCATTTGGTCATTAGGGAGCTCATCACAGTCCCAAACAGAGGGTGGGATAGGCGAATTCTCATCGCTCTCCCGATCCCCCTCCCCACGGAGGTTACAGGAAACCCCGAGGACCATGCTAACCACAGCACCTGCAGGGTCGCAGGCAATGGTCACTCCTCCTGCATTGACGGGGGATCTGCTAGCTACCCTAATAGCACAGGCAGTGGACTGTGCATTTGAGGCCAGGGCTCAAACTTCAAAAGCCAAGCCTCTAGGACTTAGAACGAGGCATCGGGAGGAAACGGAGGACCATCAGGACCTCTCCTCCGTCTCAGACTCGTCGGTCTCTGAGGAAGCTTACCTGGACCAGCCAGGTACGTCACAAGGGATTCAAATGTCTGAGGAGGAGGAGGACACCTCACCTCAAGGGCCGTCCTTCAGCGGCCTGTTTAACCCTTCTCTTTTTGTTACTATTCTGCGCAAGGCTGAGGCCACAGCCCATTTGGGGCATGGGACACCAGCGGAGCCTGTCACAGTTGACACGGAGGCTGAGCCGACGTTCGCCGAAAAGGTAACCACCCAACACCGCATACCTTGCCCGACCATGTTCCTAAACACAATAAGAAAACAGTGGGCAGCGCCAACCTCCCTACCGCTTCCTAGCAATGCGGAGAGGAAGCTATTTAACGTAGCAAGGGAGCTAGAGGGAACATTGGAGGTGCCGGTGGTGGACGAACCCATAGGTCCCCTGATATCGGACACGGCCATATCAGGAGATTTTGCTGAAGCTCTTAAAGCCGAGGACCGAAAGAGTGAGTCCAACTACAGGAGAACGCACCAGGCAATAGCTTGGGCTACCAGGGCGTCTACCTCCGCGTCCTTTTTCACCAGAGCCACACTTTGTTGGCTCCGTGAGTTACAGGGCCGGGTTCCCATGGAAGATATACGCACTCACCAGGAACTGAGCAAAATGGTAGCGGCCACGGAATATGCGTCGGACGCAACACTTTTAGCGACCAAGTTTTCAGCCAAGGCAATGGCGGCAAACAACACGAGCAGGCGCATCCTCTGGCTAAAGAACTGGCAGGCGGATACCAAATCCAAGTGGAAATTGGCTTCGGCTCCGTACCAAGGGGCAAAGCTGTTTGGTGAGGCACTAACGCCATACCTGACAGAGAACAAGGACAAGCGCAAGGTCCTTAAACACATGCTTAAAAGGCAGGACAAGAGACCCGGCTCCTGGGGAAGGAAACAATCCTTTCGTACAGAAGCCAGGGTCAACTACTTTCAAAATTCCCAACCCTTCCAAGCTAGACAGGATAGGGAAAGACAGGGGGACAGACAGAACACAAGACATAGGCAAACACAGGGAAGACGGCCCTTTCGGGGGAACAACCGCCCCTTCCGCCGTACCAGATGACTCCCGCCCAGACCTTCCCATAGGGGGCAGACTAGCAGGGTTTGCTCCCCAGTGGGAAGAGACCACCACGGACGTATGGGTCAGGAACACCATACGTCATGGTCTATCTCTAGAATTTCTCTCAAAGCCCCCGAACCGCTTCCGCCCGTGCCCCTGTCCCACAAACCCAACAAAGAGAAGGCTCATGAACGAGGCCGTTCAGCACCTTCTAAACATACGGGCCGTAGAGCCGGTGCCTATGAACCAGAGAGACCAGGGGTTTTATTCTATCCTCTTCGTGGTCCCAAAACCCTCGGGGGGTTGGAGAGCCGTTTTGGATTTGAAAAGGCTAAATTTCTACATAAAATACCGCAAATTCAAAATGCAGACACTACGCTCCATCCTTGGAAGCGTAAGGAAAGGGGATTTTCTGGCATCGATCGACCTCACGGAGGCATACTTGCACATCCCTATCTCTCTGGCTCACCGCCGCTTTCTACGGTTTGCCTACAGGGGGCACCATTTTCAATACAGGGCACTTCCATTCGGCCTGTCATCAGCGCCCAGGGTGTTCACCAAGATTCTGGCGGTTCTGGCAGCACAACTAAGAAACGTACCAGTCAGAGTCCAGTGCTACCTGGACGATATTCTAATCCAGTCATCGTCCGCCCAGCAGTCTCGGGCGGACCTAAAGTTAGTGATAAAAATGCTGCAGGACCACGGCTTCTCGGTGAACTTTCCAAAGAGCCATCTAACCCCAACTACGAGAATACTCCACCTGGGAGCGGTCATAGACACAAAGGAATGCAAGGTGTACCTATCACAGGAACGCCTCAGCAGCATAAAGAAAGCCGTAAAACAGGTAAGCCGCGGTCAGTCAGTGACGCTGGTCTGCCTTTCCCAGCTGCTAGGGAAGATGATATCGACCATAGCAATAGTTCCTTGGGCAAGGCTGCACTCAAGAGAACTGCAATGGTTCATGCTCCCGTTTCAGAGACAACAAATCAGTGCATCACGGAAGAGGGTAGGCATACCTCTGAGAGTACGACACTTCCTCAGGTGGTGGCTATCTCCAGCTCTCCTCAGGGGGTCCCCCTTCAGGGAACCAGACAGAGTAGTAGTCACAACAGATGCGAGCTTATTCGGCTGGGGAGGCCACTTGGGGACCAAGTGGACACAGGGCCGCTGGTCAGCGGTGGATCTCCGACACAACATAAACTGGCTCGAGCTGCGGGCTATTCACCTAGCGTTAAGGCATTTTCACAGCAGCATAAAAGGCAGGCACGTACTGGTCCTGACGGACAACGTGACAGCCAAGGCCCACATAAACCGTCAGGGGGGCACACACTCTCGCTCGCTCTCGGCCGAGGCCCTCCTACTGGGGGCCTGGGCGGAACAAAATCTGGCCTCCATAAAGGCCGACCACATATCGGGGGAGGCAAACATCCAAGCAGATCTGTTGAGCAGATCAACAATAGATCACTCGGAGTGGCAACTACACCCGAGGATCTTCAGGGAGGTCTGTCACCGCTTCGGGCTTCCCCAGGTGGACCTTTTTGCCTCTCCTTCCAATGCCCACCTAACTCGCTTCTTCTCCCGATTCCCATCCAAGGGAGCAGAGCAGACGGACGCGTTACGGAGCCCATGGCCAAGGGGGCTCCTGTACGCGTTTCCACCCTTACCTCTCCTTCCGGCGGTAGTACGCAAGATTCTGCGGGAAAGGGCCGAGGTAATCCTTGTGGCCCCTTATTGGCCAAGGAGACCTTGGTTCGCAGACTTGAGGAGTCTCTCCCGCACGAATCCATGGCGGATTCCTCCGGAGAGGATCTCCCTCAAGCAGGGGGAGATCTCCCACCCAGAGCCACAATGGCTACAACTAGCCGTCTGGCTCTTGAACGGTCAATTTTAGCCAAGGGGGCTTGCTCACAGGGTGTAATTAGGGTCATACAGGCATCAAGGCGCCCCTCCACGAACCGTATCTACGAGGCCACGTGGAGAAGCTTCCAATCATGGTGCTCTAAACAGGAATTGTTACTCGAAGGGATCACAATTCCCAAGATCCTAGAATTTTTTCTAGATGGCCTAGAGAGGGACCTCTCGCCAAACACACTGCGCAGGCAAATTGCCGCCCTCTCAACTATACTTTCTGCCAGCCCCGGTGAATCCTTGGGCAAGCATCCCTTAATACGATCCTTCCTCAAGGGGGCTGCAAACATCAGACCGCCAACCGTGCACAGGTATCCATCGTGGGAACTACCACGAGTACTACAAGCTCTTACCAGAGCGCCCTTCGAACCACTCAAAACATGTGACATTCGCTATCTGACCCATAAGGTAGCATTCTTGGTAGCCATCACGTCAGCTCGGCGGATATCCGAGTTAGCTTCTCTCTCAATGAGGAAGGACCTGTGCCATTTTCACAGGGACAAGGTAGTCCTAAGAATAGACCCTTCATTCATTCCAAAGGTCAACTCCCTTTTTCACAGATCACAGGAAATAGTCCTACCAGACTTCTGTCCAAACCCAGCTCATCCCCTGGAACAACAATGGCACACCTTGGACGTACGCAGGGCACTAAGACATTACATTTCACGCACAGCGGAATTCCGACGCTCGGAAGCGCTTTTCATATCCTTCCACCCTGCTACTAGGGGCCGGAAGGTCTCGTCCTCTACCATCGGTAGGTGGATTAGGGCATGCATCACGGGGGCATACCAGGCGGAGTCCTTGCAAGTCCCCAAGCATATCACAGCCCATTCCACAAGGAGTGCTGCCACCTCAGCAGCATGGGCCATGCAGGCTTCTATTGAAGAGGTATGCAGGGCAGCCACTTGGGCCTCGCCCTCTCCATTCATTCGTCATTACAAAATTGACAGGTACTCCTCTGCAGAGGCCTCCTTCGGTAGGAGGGTTCTCCAGCAGGTGCTAGACCAAAGTTGCACACGGGACCAGTCTATTCCCCAACCCAAGGGACAATAGGCTTTGGTATGTCCCACTGCGTGGATTATCCATCTCCAGTGCTGGAGAAGGGGCGTTGACTTACCTGAACGCCTTTTCTCAGCACGGAGATGGATAATCCACACCCACCCTTATAGGCTAGAATAATAGGGTATATTTAGTGGAGCCAAAACGTCTTACTGTCAGTCAATGGCTGCGCTCGAGTCAAGACTAAAGGATCATGGTCCAAGACGGGGCGTGGCAACTTTGGCTGACTGATCTGATTGGCCAGGAATACAGTCTCAACCCACTGCGTGGATTATCCATCTCCGTGCTGAGAAAGGGCGTTCAGGTAAGTCAACGCCCCCTTTCATGATGTGCTTATTAGTATTTTTGGGTCTGCTTGTTCAGTAAAATGTTCTGTGTTGATATTGTGGTGGTGTGAAAAGGCAAACAGAATGCATGGAACTATTCCTACTTTTGACTTATTGCTGTTTGGTATTAAGTTTGCAAACTAGGTATAGGGTAAACCTGACTGTTGTTTAACTCACATTTCCCCCCCATTAGCTTTAGGCTCTGAGGACTCTAAAATACACCAGCTTTGTGAAGCTGCATTGATGTTTCTAGGGTAGCTTTCCATTGTACAAAACACCTCATACTCAGTATTCATGATTGGTCAATTCATGTTCTCACACCGTTCATTAGCAAAAAAAACCTGAAACGCTCTTGAAAGGCCCATGTTTAGGTAGAAGAGTTTCACTTCCAGAGCCTGCTCCATTTTGATTCCAGCTCTGTTCTGCATAATAGCAATTGTGTCTCCAGCTCCAGAGTGTGTCTGAACAAAATAACCAGATCCATCAGCTCTAAATTCTGGAACTAAGGCCCAACTATTCCTAGCAACAAAATCCACCTAAGTTTTTCCCCCCACACTATCACTCTGCAAAACAACTAATTCCCACAACATTGTCAAATATCTAGTAGGGCTTCTCATTTTTCCTATTACCTATTTCTTTATTGTCTTATGACTATAACTTTGTTGCTTGTATCTTACAATTTATACTGTTTTATTTAGTATCCCAGTATGATTTATGTTGGTTGCTTATTTACTATCCTATGACTATCACTGAGTTTTGTATCTGATGATTTATGATGAATGCATTTTATGATTATGATCATGATTTATCACTTGTTGCTTGTGTGTACACTGAGAGCTTATGCACTGGAGACAAGTTCCTTAAGTGTTCAATCACCCTTGGCCAATAAAGAATTCTAATCTAATCTAATCTAATCTAATCTAATCTAATCTCATTTTATTTTCCCCCTTTCTTTTATTCATCAGCACTTGAGCAAGCGTGTTGTTATGTTAATACTGTGCCTTTTTTTAATTCAGGTTTTTTTTTCTTCTCAAAACTTTACAGGCCACCAGAATTTTAAAATATGGCTGCAAGCAGCGGAAGCAATGAGTTTGTAGTTCTGAGCAATGGCAACGTTCCATTTGGAGCAGCAAGTCCAGATCTTCTTGCAACCAAGGATGGCACTCTCCTAGTCTACAACCTTCCGTCATCAAAAGAAACTGCAAGAAGAAAAGTGAATGCAAATGGGTGTTTTCACGTTAATGGCACACTCAAAGCACCTTTCCTTGCAATGGATGAGCAAAGGACACCACAGGTATTGCTACAATGTTGCCATCGTTGCCCATATCATCAGACACTAAGTAACCAAAGCAATCAGCAAGAATGTCTTTCAGTGGCTGGTAATGCAGCATCACCTCCATTGCCTTCTGGTTCCCCATACCTACATACTGAATATTCAACAACTGCTTGCCAGATGCATACACCTTTGTATCAGTCTGCTTGTTGCCTTCAGTCCTTGCCCTCCTTCTGCCTACATCATCAGTGGCCTGAACATTTTCAGCACCAGCCTGTGCAACAGCATATAGCCAATATGCAGTAAGTAGATTTCATTTCATCTAGTGCAATCCTGTGAACTACTGTGTTTCCCCAAAAATAAGACCCGGTCTTATATATATTTTTTTGCCTCTGAAAGAAGCATTAGGTCTTATTTTGGGGGGATGTCTTATTTTTTCCACTGTTTCACCTCATAGCAGCGTCACCCACAGCCCCACCCAGTAGGAGTCCGTGTGGCTGCAGCCGGCCCACTTCTTCTGTAGCTGCTCGCTGCCACTCGTCCACATCGCCCCCAGCCTCCATTTCACCAGCAGAAGCCTTCAGGAAAGGCCTCTGCAGCCCAGAATGGAGGCCCGGGTTGACACGCATGTGTCAACCCAGGGCTTTTTCTCGGTTTGTCAGTGAAACGGGGTCGGGGGGCAATGCACACATCAACCTGGAGCTCCCTTCTTAGCTGCAAAGGCCTTTCCTCTTTCATTGTGCATGCACATACACCCCACAAGCACAGATGCTATTCTATGAATACTTTTTTATCAGATTTGTACAGTTTCAGGGACTGAGGGTTTACTGCATGATAAGTAGTATGTAAATTTTTTAAATACATTGAAAATTACATTCAGCTATACTTTTGAATAATTCCTTGTTAGAAGGACATTTACCACACCATTCAGAATATTTTATATGTGATCATTTTGTTTGACATTCTCTACAGTTTGTACATAATATTTTAAAATGTCCATTTCATCATGTGTTAGAGTACGGAAAGCTGTTAAAAACAGCGTATAAAATAACCCTTGTTGGAAGTCTTACAGCATGCAGATTTTGACAAAGTAATATTAAATGCAGGTGTTTTCCATTCTACTGTGACCTGTTAATTATATTTAATGTATAAATGAATCCATCTTTCATAACTGTGTGTGTCCATATTGTTAAATTGACATGAAAAACTGAACAAGAAAAAAAACAGTACTATGAAAGGTGAAGGATCTCTTCCCAACTAAAAACTGAGGTTTGGCATGTAACCAGAACAAAATAACAGGTTACTGCATGGTTCTCAAGCCTGCAGAATGTAAAATGACTTCACATTAAAAGAATGAAATGTTGATACTTGGTGTTATAAATTAGTTCTTAAAAAGCAAAGCCACATTTTGCCTTTGGTTTGAAAAGTTGCAGTGTTTAGGTTTGAATTATGGAAATTAAGTTGAATTTGAAATAAAAATATATACACTTCAAATCAGTTTCACATTTTGCAGGAATGTAGTTCAGACACATTTAGTTAATACTTTGGAGTTGTGAGAAAAAAATTTTTTTTTACCTTTTTCAAAAGCTGAACTTTATTGCTTTTCATTTTTAAAATATAACTATATCCTTCAAAGGATGCTAAATCAGAAATGGGATATCTGTGGTACATGTATGATTCTAACTCCCATCAGCCCCAACCAGTATGAGAAGTAGACAAGAAAGGTTGGGATAACATCTGAGAGACAACAAATTTCTTTTTAAAAGGTAAATATAAGCCGTATAGCTAACCTAGAAAAATCACAGGATTTTCAGTACAAGTTTACATTGGTTTTTTCCTTGATCTGTTTTGGAAAATTACTAATTAATATTTGTGGTTTGGGATTTTGGCTATGTAACCATATGGTTAATGAAAACAAGGTGGAAATATTCATAGCTGGCTGACCGACTGTACTCAGCGTGTGGTCCTCAATGGAACTGCATCTACATGGAGGGAAGTGAATAGTGGGGTGCCCCATGGCTTTGTTCTAGGCCCAGTGCTCTTCAACATCTTCATCAATGATTTGGATGAGGGATAGATGGGGAACTCATCAAATTTGTAGATGACACCAAGCTGGCAGGAATAGCTAACATTCCAGAAGATAGGCTTCTATTCTTCTATTTATTTTATCATTAGAAATACTCCTGACAAAAATCAGAGAGGACCAAGAAATAAAGGGTTTAAAAATTAAGAAGGAAGAATATAAGGTCCAAGCCTTCGCTGATGATTTGGTATTTATTTTGGAAGATCCATTAGAAACCAGCCTTAAATTGATTTAAAAAAATAGAAGAATTTGGTGAGGTAGCCGTACTTAAGATTAATAAGAATAAATCCAAATTAATAACCAAAAATCTTACAAAGGCAGTCATATCTCTTCTTGCTTGTCTTTCTCCCAAGCTAAAAGGTCTAAAACATTTTAGTCTTTTTATTTAGATCCCAATCATTTTGGTCCACCAAGAGATCCTATTGGCCATAGCCGTGTTAATCTTTCACAAAGCATTGAAGGTGTTGCTGTTTCCCAGACATTTGGCTCAAATATAGATGAGTTGTGCTATTATTGATTGTGAGTTGATTAACTATTGATCCTTTATGCCAATGGGTTGTTTGATAGATTTGTTCGTTTTAAACTTGTAAACCCTCTGAGTGAGATGGGCAGCTATATAAATCACATAAATAAATGTAGTATTAAAAATGTGGTTTCTGCTACGCATTCTGGAACATTGATCTTTCTTGACTTTTATACTGTAATTAGGCATTTTCAGATGTTGGCAATGAATGTTTGAAAGTTATTTCCCATTCTCCACACTCTCACTTTGAAAGTCACAGCAGAACACTGGTATCCTGAATAAGCAATGAGCTTCATAATTTAAGACCAAATATGGTGTCTTTTGGTGACACCAAATCAATTTGGTGACATAAATTGATAGACACAAATGCTCTATCAAGATTAACAAAATGAAATTCAATGGTGAAAAAAGTAAGATTCTACATTTAGGCAAGAGAAACCAAATGTACAGGTGTAGTATAGGTGGTACCTTGCTCAACAATAGTAACTGTGAGAGGGATCTTGGAGTCCTAGTGGACAATCACTTAAATATGAGCCAGCAGTGTGCTGCAGCTGCCAAAAAAGCCAACACAGTGCTAGGCTGCATTAACAGAGGGATAGAATCAAGATCACATGAAGTATTAATATTACTTTACAATGCCTTGGTAAGGCCACACTTGGAATACTGCATCCAGTTTTGGTCACCACGATGTAAAAAAGATGTTGAGACTCTAGAAAGAGTACAGAGAAGGGCAACAAAGATGATTAGGGGACTGGAGGCTAAAACATATAAGAAATGATCGCTGGAATTTGGTATGTCTGAAATGGTATAGGGTTTCTTGCCTGAGCAGGGGGTTGGACTAGATGACCTCCAGGGTCCTTCCCAACTTTATTATTGTTGTTGTTGTTGTTAAGAAAATATTAAACAATAAATAAAAGACTGTCCTGTCCAACAAGTCCCTACTTTTGTGAATGCATATACGTTCCATGCTTTTTCTGAAATTTATGAAAATTGAACTGAAATATTTGTTCTCAGATGTATATTAAATAATTAGACTTGAAAGATTGTTTATAAATCTAGACCATTTAGTTTATCTTAATAAAGTTATTACTATAATAAATAGTTTCTATATTTTCCTAATCAACCAACATGACCAAATGCAACATTTACTAGCATTGTTACTTGCTTTTGTTTGCCTTATTCTGTTTTTAGGATTATGGCATGAAAGCAAGTAATTTTTGAAAATTGACATATCTGTTTTTCAATTAAACATCCAGTCAGAGGAGATTGTCCAAAATCAATAATTGAAGGAATGATGTTGAACTGGAAATAAACTGTAGATCCATCTTCTTCAACTTAGCACTTACTAGAGATACTGAGACTTCAATTGCAGTTCCAGTATATCTGGAAGAGATTAGGCTGTAGAAGATTGCTGAATCTACCTGATTAATATCTGTGACTGAAGCAATACTTTTTCTCTCAAAGGCTGTCTCCCCTCAAGGCTACTGTGGTAGGTAAATGAATTTCCTCAGGGCTACAAGGGAGATGAGCTGAAACAAATGATGAGTTGTTGTTTTTTACTTTCTTTCATCTCTCTTGCTTTCCTTCTAAAATCAAATTCACAATCAGTAGGATGTAGGGGAAGGATGGATAGTTTTACATAGAACTCTTGGAAAAGCTTTTTCCCTCCCTTCCTTTTTTTTAATTAAAAAACTATTATTTTTTTTAAAAAAAATAAAATACAAAAAAGCAAAGAAGAGGAGTTAAGAAAAAAGGGGGAACGGGATAAACAAAAATTAGGGAATGCAATTTTTGAAAAATGTCGACAACTTCTAGCATAAAGCTTTTGCTGTGGGAATGCAGACATTGCTAATTTATTGGTTAGTAAATCACTCCTGGTTTAATTCAGAACTGACTTGTGTTTATGAACTTTTCCATTGGGGATATGGGGGAGGCTTGTCATGGCTTCATTATACATAACTGTAATCAATAGTTGGTAACTGTTGGACAAAAAATAAACTTAAATCAAAAGCATTCCTTGTGTGTGTGCAGGACCCCATTTTGCATTATAAGTTACAGAACATTTTTTAAAGCAAATTGCATTTGGACTATATGCTATATATTTGGATATTATAGACCAGGTAAAATTCTGTTCCAAGTCAGATAATGACAGTCTTTGACAACATTTTTCCCTGCAGAAACATCTGTCTGGCATATTGCACAGACCTCTTTCCTATACTCTATGAAACAGTTTTACTTAATGCTGCCTTGATTTTAATGTACATAGAAATTCAGAATCCAGGAGAAGATTAAATTAGTACCATTCTCCCTGACTGTGAGAAGATTTTTGAAAACTACCTCTAACTTGAAATGATTTCATTTGTCCTACTATAGTGAGCAACTGAAAGGATAAAATATATCTATGGAACACTCTACCAACCTTCTCTCTAGCTCTGTAGATTTTTAAAAAGAAGCTGGACAGTCATCTATTGAAGATGGTTTAATTGGTTTCCCTGCTTGTTGAGGAGGACTGTGATAGATCCATATGCTTGATTCCAGCTTCACAGTCCTGTGATTCTGTGTTTCTATAAATGGAAGGTATATTCTCAGTATCTTAATTGGTTCTCCTATACAAAGGAGTGAATACTTTATAAATAGAGCAACTATAAATCAGTTTGAACTCTTGACAGGATAGCAGAGAAATGTAAATAAATCAT